TAACAGATGTAATATTAATCAATATTATCAAAAGTCATACAATCGTCAAAATAAAATATGAAAATTGTCTCATTATCTCAATACAAAAATACAAAACTATTAAATGGTTTCTTGACGCCAATCTTTAAAAAGTTTAAATGCACGTTTGTACTGACCAACTTTATAATATTTTTTTTTTCATAAAAATAATTGAAACTATGTAGGTATTTTTTTAATTTAAAAAAATTTCTCATTTTAAAATTATTTAAATTGTTTGATGATTTTTTCTTCCAAATACAAAATAAGTTTTTTATAAAATGGCTGCTAAAAATACATTTTATTGGCATTCGCCATCTTTTTCTATATAAAATATTGGCGAATGCATTGAGATTAAAATTTTAATATTTTAGTATTTTTTCTAGATTTAAAATTAGTTCCATGTTTTTTTATAGATACAATAAAGGACTGTAAAAAATATGAATAATAAAACCTAATATTGTAGCTTTAGGCAAACTATGTAATAATATTATAGATTAGACTTGTTCACGGTGTGCCTGAACGAAGTTCAAGTCACATAAAAATGCCGCCAAAAACTGATTGCAGTTTCTTGTTCGAGACCCTTTGGTGACTTAAAAATGATATTTAACAAATTCCTAGCTGCTCCTCTTTTCGAAATTTTTTGAAAATTCATAATTTTTTTTTTATTTTTGTTTATTTTAAAGTCTACTTTTGACAGATTGCACATTTGTACACCGATTTTAATAAAATTAGAGTATATTATTGAGGAGACTTAAAGAATACTTTTTAATACTGTTTACATCATTTGATATATACAGGGTGAGCCATAAATCGCCTATTTTTAATAAAGCAAAAGCGTAAATTCATGATTTTGGCATAACACGCAAAAAAGGTTTATCCCCATTTTTTTTTTATTTCTACGTTTATCAGGTTACAAAATGGCACTCTTATGAACATTTTATAAAAAAATAGATTTTTAATAAAATTAAATAAAATTACGCTTAGAGAATAATTAAAATGTTGTTTAATTTAGGGTTTTAGTAGTTTTCAATTTTGAACGAAATACTGGTTAAAGTTTTTTGATCGGCACTCTTTGGAGATTTAGAAACGATATTTACCAAAATTCTAACTGCTTTTTTCCTTAAATTTGTTAAAAAAAATCATTTTTTTAAATTATTTAATTATCGCAAAATCTACCTTTGCCACACGGAAAAAAATAATCGGTAGAGGCTACCGATTGGCAATCGGTAGCAGCTACCGATTGCCAATCGGTAGACTCTACCGAAAAAATCGGTAGACTCTACCGATAAAATCGGTAGTCTCTACCGAAAAAAAATCGGTTCCCTCATCCGATTTTTATCGGTAGCAGCTACCGATTATTTTCGGTAGAGTTTACCGATTTTTTCGGTGCAGGCTACCGAAAAAATCGATTACCAATTTGTGAAAATTTTTGTATTTTTTTAGCGAGAAGTTAAATACTCGCTTTTTATTAAATAGAAAATAGTATTTTTTTTTTAGGTATAAATAAATTTGAAATACAAAAATATTAAAAATTAGGAGTAATTTTTATTAAATTTTTTACAATTCTAAATAAATATTAAATTAAATGTCTGGTGGCTACAAAGTAGAGATTTTTTTGTATTAATAAACAAGGTTCTAAATTTGGTAATTTGCTCTTATTCTTTGTCATACTTGATTTATAATCAATTTCAACGCAATAAGCATGATAGTGTTGATCAAAATACAAGTGGTACCAACAGAAGTGCAAGCGCGGGGAATTTTGAATTTCGAGAAAGTTTTCTTTTCTTTTTCAGTACTAAAATCACCAATATGTACATACCTAGAAATATATGTAAATTAAAATTATATTTACATATAAAATAATTGACAAAACTGTATGTATTTATAATTGGATAAATAAACTTTCTTTTAAATAGATGATAAAAAAAACCCATTTCTTTGAATAGCATTTTTTAATAATTACAATGAATACCATCTCAAAATGTTTGATTGAAAAGAGTAATTTTTATTAACTTGAATAATGTTTAATATTATTTTTAAATGTTAATATTTTTAAGTATTAATATTTTTTTTTAATTTTCTAACAGCGCATCGTTGCGGATTTTCTCGGTTACGGCTACCGAAAAAATCGGTAGACTCTACCGAAAAAATCGGTAGTCTCTACCGAAAATTAATCGGCAGCTACTACCGATAAAAATCGGTTGAGGGAACCGATTTTTTTTCGGTAGAGACTACCGATTTTTTCGGTAGAGTCTACCGATTTTTTCGGTAGAGTCTACCGATTGGCAATCGGTAGCTGCTACCGATTGCCAATCGGTAGCCTCTACCGATTATTTTTTTCCGTGCAGAGTACACATTTGTACACCGATTTTTATTAATTGCAGTTTCTTGTTCGGGACCCTTTGGTAACTTTAAAATGATATTTACCAAAATCCTAGCTGCTTCTCATTTCGAAATTTTTTGAAAATTATTAATTAACAGACTGTTCACATCATTTAATATATATAAGGTTAGCCAAAAATCGCTTCTTTTAATAAAGCAAAAGCGTAACTTCATAATTTTGGCATATCACGCAAAAAATATATATACCCCCATGTTTTTTTAGATATTTTTATGTTTATCAGGCTACAAAATGGGATTCTTAGTAAGACTTTATAAGAAAAATTGATTTTGAATTAAATTAAATAAAATAACATTCAGAACAGTATAAAAAAGTATTCTCCAAATCTCCTTAACAATATACTGCAATATTATAAAAATCGGTGCACAAATGTGTTATCTGTCAAAGGTAGACTTTGGGATAAACAAGAATTTAAAAAAAAATCATGAATTTTCAAAAAATTTCTAAAAGAGGAGCAGCTAGAATTTTGGTAAATATCATTTTTAAGTCACCAAAGGGTCCCGAACAAGAAACTGCAATCAGTTTTTGGCGGCATTTTTATGTGACTTAAACTTCGTTCAGGCACACCGTGTGTTAACAATGTAAATACAAATAATTAAAATTATTTTTAAAATGACGATTTTGATTCATATTTTGTGACATAAAAACATAAATTAATAAAAATCTGAAAGGCCTTGCCTAACAGAATAAAAATGATGAAACGAATTTGTTTACGTAGTAAAAAGTCGTTGTTGTTTCATGAATATAAGGTACTTTTAATATTAAATCATAATACGCTTTGTGCTTTATATAGTAACAACATTAAAACCTTAAATAGAACCTTAATTGAACTAAAAAGTTCAAATATCAACTTTGAAGGAGAAAATCTAAAAATAGATTTTCATAAATTTCCTTTTCCTAAACATATTTATTCTTAATGATGTAAACAAAACGCAATAAACATTTTATATACATAGGTACATACTGGGTGTCTATTTAAAAACGAGCAATTCTCTTTAGGTCTTGACCTAAAATCAGTATGACCAAAATTATTATAATGACCTTCATTAAGCAACCCCTGGGGCTGTAGCCACCCCCCTGATAGCACACTTTATTCTAAGAATGTTTTTTAAACCTTCCAGTGAGAATATTCTTAGGATCATGCTATATTTCTTCTAAAGAACATGCTTAAAAGACATATAGCATGATCCTAAGAATATTCATACTGGCCTATAGGCAGGTTCTTAGAAGGTGCAAAGTTTTAGTGGTAAAGTTCATTTAGGAATATTCCTGTTAAGCATATTTAGTTCAGTTACCTATATAATAGTAAAATATACCATAAACTACGTATACTGCCCTACTATGGAGAAAGGCAGTAACTGCAAAAAAATGCAAAATGCGTTTTCTTGTGCTATGGTGAAACTATGGACATTTTGTAACCGAATTCAACAAAGAAATGCAGTCAAATATCTCATAAGTTAAAAAAATAAATTAAATACCTACTGCTTTTTATAAAAATGTAGTTTATGCAAATTTTCCCCAAATTTCTTGTTTAGCAGTTACTGCCAAAGATAATATTATCTCTGGTTACTGCCTTTCTCCATAATAGGGCAGTATAAAAGTATAAACCTATACTTAAGTACCTAATTAGTAATTAGTATTAAATACTAAGTTAAAAACACAATCCACAATATTTTTTATAGTTATTTGTCACATTAAAACCATATTCGATAACAAAAATACTTTTATTATAGGTATTTTATTTTATGTTAAAAATAAATATTTATTAATTTGTATACCGATTTTTTATTTCTGAATTAACATTTTTATTTATAATAATCCTAACTATCTTCAACTTCAATCTAATCTGACTTATCCCACAAAATTTTCCAATTTTACTTTTTATGAAATAATGTCATAAAACTTATGGTTTAGAGGTCAAATTGTATATTTAATATTTTTAAATAAATATATATTAATATGTCGCAAAATTTAATGGGACGACAAATACATTTCACTGTCATATTATGACAGTGAGGCGTATTTGTCTCCTGAAGAATTTTACGAATGTAGAATACAACATATTAGAACGTGGGTATCTGACATATTTGGAAATATTCTCATAAGAAACCTTCTAAGAACATTCCAAAAACGTATTCTTAAAAAATTTTTAGGATGCTTTTAAGAAAGGTTTTAAGAAGCTTTTAAGAATCTAATTGCATCATTAAAAGGGTATCTATTGAATGTTTTAAAAGTCCATTCTCAGCAATAAGGGAAGGTTCTAAGAATATTCCATTATTACGGGTTATATCTTCTTAGAAGATTCTTAAAATCAAATTTTGCTATCAGCGCCCATCTCAATTTTTTTTTAAATGACAACGCCCTCTCGTGATACCTCATTGGAAAGCTCTTTAAAATTGCTATTTAACAGTATTAAAAAAATACTTTCTAATAGTTTAATTTTTGATAAATATGCAAATACAACAAAACAATTTCACGAAAAACATTTCAAAATGTTGGAATTGAATTTGAGAATAGACAAAATTATTAAATTAGTTTGTTTTATAGACGCAAATTGGCCTAATTAATAAATATTTCTTACCTAATTTACTTTTTAAAGTAATTGGTGTGATAGAATTAGGCACTGGCGGTGATGGTACAGGTCTTGATGAAATTGGGGGGCACGCTTCGTCGCAGCAACTCATGCCCGTCACTGTCCCCCACCACCATCCTTTGTTTCTTACATAAAGGACCACTACCAACATAAGAACTCCTATGCCGGCGATGGCGCCAAGCACCATGCCTCCATCAGCCCCTGAAAAAAGAACATTTTGTCAACAAATTGTATGTTAAAATAGTTATTTATGTCATTAGGTTAAGAATTAAGGCTTTTTGCGCTAAGCTCAAGGTTTGAAGGCCGACGCGTAGCGCATATTTAAGTTTACAATAATTTAATGAAAAAATATTACACATTAACAGTAAAACAGCAAATTAGTGCTTATTATAAATAAATTAAACCAGTTTAGTACGTTAATTTCTTAGAAAAGGATTAATTTGTCAAAACAATACCCCTAGCGAGAAAAAATCGAACTAATTACTTGCCTCATAAAAATTTTTATCGGCCTATTTCTTTATCGAATGTTGACAACAATAAAGTTTAAATTATAGACCGCGTGGAGATAAAGGTCTTTATTAATTTAGTTTTTTTTTAATTTATAAAATGCCGTCTATGACAAGGTCACATTTTTTTCACAGGAAAGTGGGGTTATGTGACACATCATGTCACAGGACCTCACTTCGCATTTAAAAAAAGTTACCATTTTACAATCGCGCTTACTGTATATAAAATTTTATGTATTACTTTATATTTAATATTTTTGTCATTAATTTTTAGTAATTTTGGTTTTCGACGTACTTAATAAAGTTCCTTCCTTTAAGAGTCCCGGCACGCATGTAACTGTCCTGGAAGTTTAATCTATTTTTATATCAATGAAAAAGACGTTTGAAATAGTGACAAGGGACAATTTAATCTTACAAGAAGTTTAAATTAAATATATCGATGGAGTTTGGTAACGCTTTATTGCTTTCAGTTGAGTAATACAAAAAGTTTGGGAAGGTCAGAAAAAGTGAAGAAATATATTTCAAAACCTTTTTTATTAGTTTTTAAAAAGTTATACCAAGGAAAAAAATACATAAGTTTTAAATACACATTGACAAGTTGTGGCTTTATGGCGTTTAAGTCACAGGCTGAAGTAAGTTTTAAGTTAGTTGACAGTAAGTAAAAAATAGTTTCTCAACGCCAATAGCTATTTAATAAGTTTATATGCAAGTTTGTACTGACTTTTTGATTTTGCATTTTGTAAACTAGATTTAACTGAAAGCATTAAACATTTAGGGTGGAGACTCTACCGTGAAGTGCCCATAAAACATTCTCTTCACTTGTACTATGAAAAACTGCTTCTTCAAGGGATAAATTTTGATTTACACATACAAATTTGACATTTTAACTGGCGCGCCGGTAATACAGATTCCCCAGTTAGAAATGGTTAGGCGGGTAACTCTATTTTTGTATAGATATCGCTTTATACAAATATACATATATTATTTAAATAATTTTTATAGAATAATAAATGCCTACATACTTGTTGTAAACAAAGTTTAGTACGCAACTCGTTTATAACAAAGACAGTCATTTAATTAAGCACTAGCTCACGAGTAGTAGTAAAAAGCGGGTTTCAGCGACAAAGTCGATGGCATGTGTTACCTTTTAGGATTTTTAGTGCTAAAGAGGTTTTTTTCTAAGTAGATTTGAGTTGGTAGTAACTAAATTTTAGTTGGCAACATTGTCCACTCAAGGTCATGTGAGAAAATAAAAACCTAGCACAGTTTTGTGTTATCTGCTGTAGATGGATCGGCTATCCTTGAGTGGATAATATGAAACTCATCTAATAAATAAGCTGATAATTGCTGAATCCACAAAATCTACAATAGATTGGTAAAGATGCAAGGGATTTTCACACAGGATGGTCGTAATATTGAAGGATTGAATATATTTCTGCAAACAGCCATGTGGTGCATAGTCGGTTTTTTTTGCGCTTTTTTTTTGCCTCGTAACTTCCGCTGCTAATATCGTGATTTTGTATGTGTATGTGTAAAAGTATAATAAAAGTGACTTCCGCTGCTGATATAAGCTATATTGAATAAACTCTAAAAAAGACAAAAATGATAGTGATGGACATAAGTGAATAAAAAGAGAATAAGTGAAAAAAGAATCTAAAAGTGACAAAAATAATAATAATTAAAAAAACTATAAAACCAAGAAGAAAAGGAGAAGCTATAGGTTATCCTAGACTCGCTTGCTCCAGTATAATAATAATAAAATTCAGCTGGCTAAATCCTGGATGGGAAAGGCCAAACCAAACAAAGAAGAAGAAGAAGAAGAAGAAGAAAAACCTAGCATTTGTAATCGCATTATAACAAGTCGTTAAAACGGTATATTCGTATATCAATCGACAGGTCTGCGGTTAGAACCCCAGGCAAGTTTTTATTTTTTCACGTGACCTTGAGTTGAAAATGTTGTCAACTAAAATCAAGTTACTACCAACCTAAATCTAGTTAGACAGTAGTACTAGCCTAGACATCTAAGAGATAAACCAGGACCTTTAATGTCCTTATCTTTCAGGAAAAAGGACCTTCTGGTCATAGTATTCTTCAGCAGCCGAAGACATCCTGAAAAGGACCTCTGCAGCCGAAGACATCCTGAAAAACACTTCTTCGGCACTGAAAATACTGAAAGGTAACACATGCCATCGCCCGCTCTTTATACTACTCTTTATACTTCTCTTTATACTACTCGTGCCTAAATTAAATTCTTGACTAAAATAGTAAAATGATAAATTATTGAAATCAAGTAGGTTAAGTTTAGAACACTTTATACCAAAATTATTTTTTGCTCCAACCTAAAAGTTTCTTAGATTCAATTTAAAATGAAATTAAGAGTTGAAATTTTAACTTAATTTTATTCTGACATATTCTAAGGTAGGTATACAAAAAATTAACCAACCAAATAAACACATAGTTATTTTTAGAATGGTGAAGCATAGGTTTAGGATTATATTTACTTTGTTCCTTCTTATCAAAGATGGAGCACGTAGGTGGTTAAAAATAGAATAAGGCAATATCTGAAGATTGTAAAATTGTTTTATTATAGTAACTATTTTCAGCGGAAATTAAACTGCCTTTTATTACTATTAAGACAGTAATTGGCAATTTTACGGCAAGCCAAAAGTTATCATTGCAGAGTTGTTAGCATTAATAATCATAATTAATCTGTACCTTGTAGGTAAGATTTAAAAAGAGATTGAAATTTTTTAATTTTTTTTCGTATATCAAGTTAAAAGTCGAAATCTATAATGAGGAGTGTTTTTCTCAGTACAATTAAACTGAAAACGAACGACAAAGATCAATTTAAAAAATAAAAAAATCAAATTAAATAATATTAAGTATTGCATGGGGCTCCGTTTTTTTTTCAGGAATTATTCTTATAAGACCTATAGGTATTAACACTAAAGTGATATTTTCAATTAGATAAAAAATATCAAATAGGAATTTTTATTTTGCGAATTAAAAATATCATAGTAGATATTTAAAAATTTAATTTAATTTTTATGCCGAACTGATATTTTTAATTTAGTGTTTCTTATATTTGTATTTTTTAGTTAAACACATATTTTTAATTCGCTAAATTAAAAATATCATAGGAAAAATTTTTAAATGCATTAAAAATATCATAGGAGATAGTTTTAGTTTATTTTCTAAAATAAGCAAATATTTTTAATTGAATGTGCACAGAGAAAAAAGATTGGTTGATTTCAAAGAAATTTTGTTTGGTCTAAATAAATTTGTTGTTTGCATACGGGGAAACAAATGTTTTTTAATCGTAATGAATGATATGTTTCGCATCTGAATTAAACATTTTTTTAAAAACCTTACATATTTGTTTGATACGTAATGCCTTATAACCGATAAATCAAAGAAATATTTCATTGATTTAAAAAAAAATTTAGTTGGCAAATCAAACAAATCTTTTGTTGATTTGCAAAATAATTTGATTGGCAAATCAAACAAATATTTCGTTGATATAAAAATTTATTTGGTATTGGCTGTTTTAATGAATTAATTATTTAAATAGTAAATATGAAGCAAATATAATCTAATTAAATATTTCTTTAAAATATATATGTGTGTTCCAGAAACTATATTTTATAAGTAGGTATATCTAAGTATACTTACCACAAAAAGGATAAAGGTGCAAATTCCCATTTAAAAAGGCAATTTACAATACAAAATGTTTATTATGACAAACAAAATACATATTTAAACCCATTGATAACATTTTATAAATAAAAGTTTCATTTCCGGAACTCACTTGGCAAGTGACAACAAGTGACACTTGTCTTAGTAGATCTCTCATTGGACAATTTTTGAATTAACAAAATCCAATTACTTTATGTTTACCGAATATTTTATTTATTAGAATACAAGAAATATTTTGTAGCTTTGTTACCTTTACTTATTGGACATTATATTTCTTTAATTTAAAAAAATATAACCTAATTTTAAAGAAATTTCTTTCATTTGAGTCAAACAAATTGTAAAAAAATTTCAAACAAACTAATTTATTAATAACTAAAAAACATTTCTTTTATTGTAGCATTTGTTTTTTGAGTTTATGAAATATGGTTTAAACAAATGGTGTTGTTTGATTGAAAAAATCATTTTTCTCTGTGTGATATTTGTAATTTAAATTGAAAGTTTGTACACCCCTGCTATTCCAAACTAATTTTGTCGCTAGATGGCGGCACAATCACTGAGATCTACGACGTCCGATGTCGCACTGACCCAGCGTGTGCTGAACAAGTACAATCTAATTTTTAATTAAGCGAATTAAAAATGTGTGTTTAACAAAAAATACAAATACAACAAACAGATATTTTAAATTTACTGAAATAAAAATATCAGTTTTAGACCAGTGCAGAAGCCTTTAAAAATGGTAAAAAGAGAAAAAAAATAACAGTAGGATGAAACCCATTGGAAAAAAATTAAAGGAAAAATAAATTACGGGCGATCTGAGTTCGGGAAGTGGGAGGGGGGGGTTTAAGGGTAAAAAATGGTTTATCTCGATTTCCGGCAAAACTACAAGTCCTATGGAAAAATTTAAATGTCAAAGTTGTAGGTAATAAAAAGATCTACAACTTTTGTATGTACAATTTTTTCACATAACCTCAAAATTTATGTGAAAAATTCAAAATACCA